TTTATTCATTTTTTATTCCTGCGATTTTTGATCAAACGCTATTCACCCCCCCTCTAGCGTTAGTCTCTTATTCTAACAATTGGTATCGGAGCCTAACTCGCGTCCAAACTTAACCGTTTGAGAGTAAAGCGATCATGGGCTCTTCTTCTAGAAATCTCTATGCAGGAATTGGAGAAGGTCAATCAACTTCTAGGCCACCACTCTTTGATGGCACCAACTACTCTTATTGGAAGGAACGGATGAGAATCTACATTCGTTCCACCAACTTCCAATTGTAGTTGGTGATCAAAAATGGCGAGGAAATCCCTATGAAGAAAGTGGGAGAAACCACGGTCCCAAAGACCGAAAACGAATTTGATGCCGAGGACATCAAGAAGATTGAAAACTATGCAAAGGCCATCAATATGCTATATTGCGCGGTCAACCCCGATGACTACCGAAAGATCTCCTGTTGCACAACCGCCAAGGAGATGTGGGACAAGCTTGAGGTGATGTACGAAGGTACCGATCAAGTTCGCGAAGCCAAGATCGACTTTCTCACCCAAGAGTACGAAATGTTCCGGATGAAAGAAGGTGAGAAAATTGATGACATGTTCGACCGGTTCTCAAAGATCATCAACGATCTTCATGCTCTCAAAAAGACTTACACCAACAAGGATCTCATGAGGAAAATCCTGCGAAGCCTCACACCCGAATGGAGGTCAAAAGCCGATGCAATCTATGAATCCATTGGAGTCTCCAACGTCACCATCGACAGGCTAAGAGGTAACCTTAAAACCTATGAATCTACTATTCTAACCCCGTCTTTGGATGAACAAAAGAAAAAGGGGATAGCTCTCAAAGCCACCAAGGAACCGGTGGAAGAGGCTTCAAGCGATGACGACAATGAATTTGGGCTCGTCATCAAGAAGTTCCACAAGTTCATGAAGAAGGAATTTGAGCGGAAGGGAAGGAAGCACGACGGTCCTCCCAGGTGCTACGGCTGTGGCGAGATTGGCCACATCAAGCCAAGGTGTCCAAAGGCCAAACACGGCAAGGATAAGCCTGGCTTCAAGAAGCAAAGGGCCTACATCTCTTGGGGTGGCGATTCCGGTGACGAATCAACCGACCAAGAGGAGGACGAAGATGCAAATCTCTGCCTCATGGCGCATGAAGATCAAAGCGACAACGTCCAAGAGGTATGTAACATTTCTTCCGACTCTTATACTTTTGAAGAAATGCAAGAAGCACTTCATGAACTTTATGAAGAATTTGTTAGCGCCTCTAAAATAAATAAATCTTTGAAGAAACGTCTTTCTACACTTGAAAACGATTTTGAAAAATTGGAAAAAGAAAATGAAATACTTAAACAAGAAAACAAATTTTTTGGAAAAAGAAGCGCTGACAAACCAGAAAGTTCTTCAAGTGAATGTGGGTCTTGTAAGGCTTTAAAAGAGCAAGTCGCTAAACTTGAGAGCACGGTCAAGAAATTTAATACTCCTCACAAAGACTTAAATTTACTTCTTGACACTATGCATTTTTCTAAAGAAGGAATAGGTTTTGATAAAAATAAAGCAAAAGTTAATGTTGAGCCACCACCTAGACAAT